GAAGGAGGGAAGGAGGGAAGGAGGGAAGGAGGGAAGGAGGGAAGGAAGGAAGGAAGGAAGGAAGGAAGGAAGGAAGGAAGGGTGGGAAAGGACAAGGAAGGGGAGGGGAGGGAAGGAAGGAAAGGAGGAAGGGAAAAGAGGGGGGGTCGGAAATTGGAGGGAATGGAGAGAAAAAGGGAGGGAGGGCAGAAGAAAGGAAGAAACAGAAAAAAGGAAAAGAGAGAGGAAGGAAAGACATGAAGGCAAGAAGGAAGGGAGGGATGGAGGAAGGGAAGGAGAGAGGGATGGAGGAGGCCTAAGAGCCCAGGGTACTGAGCAAGGCCACCTTGCGTCACACAAGCCATGTGGAGGCTTGTTTTCCTCATCTGTGAGACGGGTGGGAAACCCTCCTTGAGTCTCTGTGAGGGTTGATTGCGATAACGTGAAAACACCTGCCTGTGGAGGGCATTTAATAAGTGTTTGTCAAACCAAAATATTTTTGTTTTGTGTTGTTTTTGCATTATTTGGGATCGAAGCCAGGGCCTCACACACAGGTAGGCAAGTGCTCTACAAGTGAGCTACACGTCAGGCCTCAGTTTGTATTTCCCTCCAGTGTGTTTGTGGGGTTCTTGGATAGAGGTATTCCTAGTCACCAGCCAGAGGAAACAGGCTCATTTTGTCCCTGGTGGGGTCAGCGTGATTCGAAAGAGCAACCAAGGATGAGGCTTCAGACTCTCTATCACCCAGCTATGTCCTCCACGGCTGCCAAAGGAGCACAGCTGGATGGGGGACAAGTGGCGTCTTGATCACTTCATTGGTCCCACAGTACTCTCAGCCTGGGCCTCACTGCCCCAAGTTCTACACGATGCGGCAACACAGTGTGTACTCACAGATTTTCATTTTCATTTCTAAATTGGCTATAGCTCCTTTATGTCAGGGAAGAGAAGATCTAGAAAAATAACAGAATATGAGGCTTCCAGAGTATTTTATAGGAAATGTATTGTCCAACTGCTTCATTCCACAGAGGGGGAAACGGAGTCCCAACATGACTGAGCCAGTGAAGGTCAGAGCTGAAGGGGGATCCATCCAACTTCTCCAAGTTAGAGAGCTCTTTCCATCACAGGAGAGGCCCCGAGACCACACAGCACTGAACTAGCATTTGCCAGACTGCCTGGGAGAGTGTCAGGGCAGCACCTAAAAAAAATCTGTTTCCATGTAGGCTCTCTTTCACCCGTGCTTCTCTCCTGTCTTCTTGTCCTGGCAGCTCACTGTTTGTGCCTCAGTTTACCTCACACAGGAGCCATTTAGCTTCTGACTCCTTTTCTCAATATTAGTTTGACCTTAGCACTCTCTCTTACAGACCTTGCACCCTCTGACCCTGCCTTCCTATTCATGTGACGGCTCCCTTCTGTTCTCTCTCTGCCTTGCCCTCTGTCATGTGTAAAGCAGCAGGCATGCTCTTCCTGCCTCTGGGCCTTTGCACTTGCATCCCCCACCACACACACACTGCTCACTCAGCCTATCCACAGAACTCACCATCACCTCTAAAGTCATATTCTCATCAAGGCTGGCTCTGAGCACTTATTAAAATGACAAGTACCTCTTCCCACTCTTCTAAGTATCTGTTTCTTCTCAGCTAGACCTCATGGCTAAGAATGCAGAGCACAGGTGCCAGCTCCAGCAGCTCTGTGGCTTGGCAACGCCATCCTCATTGTCCAGATGAGGAAACCGAAGCACAGGGAGTGATGAGGGAACAGAAGCACAGTGACTGGCTCACATCACTCAGGGAGTTAGCACTACCGGAATGACAGGGCCAAGGTCATCCTAGAGCAACTGTAAAGGAGGTATATGTTCCTTCCTGGTGTGCTTTGGTCCCCCAAGTGTGACCTGGCGCTGTCCTTGAGCTTCACTGAGGCAGCCCAGAAGTGGTTATGAGTAGCATAGGGATCCACTCCATGCGAACAGATTGCACACTATTGGAAGAGAATGCAGCCTGGGCTGAGAACCAAGCCACCCTCTCCCCTGGTCCCCCTGCCCCCCCCAACTCCCCCATCAAATAATTCCTGATAATGAAGTTTGGATGATTCATTGGTTTTCTGATGAGTGTGAATTCATCATCAAAATCTACATATTTCAATCCCCTGATATGTGCTCTCAGATTCCTAACCTGATTAATATGGAAAGTGCTTTATCCTGTGACTTAACAAGAGAGAGCCCAGCTTGGCTTAGGGGCCCATGTGTCTCCCAGCCTCTGGGGCTCTGGGAAGGGTTGGGGGTTGTTGGTGCCTTGGTGGGGGACAGTGGCAGGAGCTCCTCAAGGACTGGGTCAAGGTGCCCACAGGCCCACAGCCCAGAGGGGAGGTGGCTGCTCCCGCTCAGGCCACGGCACTGCGGCTGCAGAAGTCCCCATCCCCTAACCCAGAAAGTTATTCCACACTCACCACCCCGCAGACAGCCCGGAGGAGAGGAGGAGATCCAGCAGCCCCCTTGTGGACCTTTCTGAAGGGACACGAAGGTTTTTCTTTCAAGGCTATCTAAGCCAGATCCCATACTCCCCAAAGGGAGGCCACAAGCTGAGAAAGCAGCCTGGGCCTCCTCCCCCGCCGCAGCCCCTGGGGCTGACCCTGCTGCCACCACCACCTTTTGCTGCATCTAATTAAGATTTCAGGTCCAGCCTCCAAGCCTGTCACCACCTCACCCATCACACATCCTCACCCTTCCACCTGACACTCTGCAGTGGCCTAGGATCAGTTGTGACCCACATCTCCTTGGACTCAGACTCTCAACCAGGACCCCATGAAGGGCCAATCCTTGCTCTCTCATCTCATGCACACACACACACACACACACACACACACACACACACACACACACGCACACACGCACAGAGTCACAGAGGCAGGAGCTCCTGCCAGGTGCAGGGGCTGCTGCTGTCATGAGCAGCTGTCTACCTAGAGAGCTCTAGAGCCAGACAGGGGCTCAGACTTCAGCTCCAGGGTTTGGGCAAGAAATTTAACCTCTCTGAGCCTTTATGTCTTCCGCTTTTAAAACAGAGCTATCAGGAATAATAATTTGCATTTGTGAGAGCTCTTGTGAATTTCAAATTAGCCCTAAGCAGAGCGTCTGGCATGCAGCCTAAAGGTAATACTCAGTAGTACAGCTATTACTTGTGCTCATCTTCACAGACACTGGCCATGGTAACAGTGTTGCCCCATTTTTTTGATGAGAAAGTAGAGGCACAGACATTAGGGCTGGAATATGGTATACCTTTTCTTCCAGAGGCTCCTGGAGCTTGGGAAGAAAGGATTTAAGACCCCTGAAGAAGATGGGAGTGTTGTTGCCTGAGGAGAATTGCCCGTAGGAGGAGGGGACTTGAAAGGTGGCCTGGATGCCCCAACCTGGCAGAAGCCCCAAAGGAGAGTGACATCTCACCATGTTAGGCTGCTGGAGCTCCTATCTCCAGCACTAGCACATTGTCCTGGGAGCTCCTATCTCCAGCACTAGCACATTGTCCTGGTTTGTGTTTCCCCAAAATAGAAGGGAGATAAGGATTCAAGCAGTGAAGCGGCTGGGAAGTGCAGATCACAGCAAAAAGCGTCATGACCCAGAGAAGGGACAATGGCCTGTAAAGGATGTGTGACCAGGCCAGCTACCACAGTGGGGGCCTAGAACATGATCTCACAGGGCGACTCTGTGGAACTGAGGTGTAAAAATTACCCGACTCAAGGAATGAGGGAGCTCGGGTATTTATACACAGATTCCTCAATTCACTGAGTGAGGGCTCTTCCTGGGAGGTTGTTAGGCTAATTCCCCAGCCTTTGGCGTCTGCTGTGCCCATGAACAAAGTAGCCTCGCGTGGTGGTAAAATCCGCCGGCACAGGGATCCAGATGCTGGAGGCTGGCAGGGAACCGGCCCATTCTGAAAGATAAAGGATTTTCCATACAAGTTAGAACATGTGGCAGGGCAATGTGAAGGTGAACTGGCAGACCTGCAGCCCTTGGGGTCTAGGCAGCTTTCCAGTGGGTCCCAGAGCACTGGACACAACCCTGGGAGAAAAGTGTTCTTCCTTCAGCCTCTGGAGGTGCTGAGGCTGTGAGCACTGTGGAGGCTGCAGTGGCTCCAAAGAGCAGGGACGGAAGGCAAGAAGAATCCATAATGCAGGAGCCACATTGTTGTGGCTTGACGCCTTTTTCCCCGAGAATCCTGGGGAAGGTGAGGCTGCCGACTGATTTGGCAGTTAGCTGTTGAGATTTGGAAAATCAGGGACATGAAAAGTAGTTTGTAAAGTGACAGAATGGGAAGTTCTGTGGATTTAGGTCAAATACACACACTCGCCAATTATTCACTGGAATGAGAAGAGTCTGCTGCCAACATTCAAACATTTTTAGAAAGTTTGTATTTTCCGGGCTGTGCATGAAGCAAAGTTGTGCTTATTCCCCAAGTTGCAGGCATGGGGGTGAAGTCACAAAGAGCTCATGCATAGCTGAGCAGGGACGCCCACTCTTGGGCTTTATTTAGACATGCCCCAGCATTCCCTTCAGCACTCTCTGGAGCCACCATGAGAAGTTTCAGAAGTCAGCCCAAGGAAAAAGAAAAGGGCTGGGCTCAGGCACATTGTTTTCTAAAGTTTGCAGGTGAAAGCTCCTTCATGCTTCACTTCCCTGTCCTCCATGTTTCTCATCCTCTCCTTGGGAGGCTAGCAGGATGTCAAGCATGTGGACTCAGATAAATCAAGCTCTAAGCCTGGGTAGGTGACCATCGCTTCAGTGTTCCCATCTGCAAAGTAGGCATATCAGTGCCCAACATGGAACTCCAGGCAAAGTGGTAAACAGTGAGTGCTGCATAAAACCACCTTCTACTCTCTTCTCTTCTAAATTTGTTTCTCTATTTTAATTCATTACCCTTCCCCAGCCATTCAGATTGTGCCAGGCAGAGATGTGACCCAGATGTTTCCATAGATGTGGGGTTGGATGGATGGAGAATGTGATGATCCATTCACAATCATAATAAAGCATCGTCAATTTATTGCACACATTATGATGCTAAGAACATCCCATTAATCATTTTTAATGGGATAACGTGGACCCTTCCATCAGACCCATTTGCTCTTGCTCTCATCTGCACTGCGCCTCCTACAAATGCGCTCAAGTCAGTACTTAGGGCCCAGGGATGCCAAACTCCCACTTTATGCTTCCAGGTCACCTGAGCAGCCTCTGCAGAAAAAGAGAAAAAGAGCAATTATTTTACCAGATTGGTTTCCAGCAGAAAAACAGTTTAAAAAGAATAAAAGAATAAAGTTTTTTATTTCCATTATAAACGTAAGGCATGATCATCAAAGAAAATTTAGAAAATAGAGAAACCCTGGATAAATAAGCACTCATGAATGAACATTTTGTGCATTTCCTCCCCTTCTTTTTCTAGGAATGACTTTTTGTTTTTGAGAGATGTGTTCATAGAGTGTGTGTGTGTGTGTGTGTGTGTGTGTGTGTGTGTGTATAGTTGCTGTTATTTACAGAGCAATTCATCCTTACTGTGAAAAATTCAAAACATACCCGAGAGTATAGAATTAAAATGTTAATATTTTCCTTTTGTCAATCCCTACTGTAATTCCAGGGTCTTCCCCAGAGACAAACATTATTAACAAGTTTGTATTGAGTCTTGTATCTTTACATACACACACAGAATAGGGAAGTTGAGCATAAACACATTATTCTACAGTGTGTTTTTATCCTTTTAAATGTATATATTAGATGCATTTCCATGTCAGTATACACCTCTGCCTCTGCCTCATTGTTTTAAATAACGCCTAATACTGCATTTTTTTCACTATTTTAAACAATGCATTTGTCTGGGTGCACATTGGAGCATTTATATGATAGCTTCCTGAAGGTGGAATTTCTGGGTCAAAGTATACATTACTTTTAAATTTAGATTCTGCCAAATTGTACTCTAAAAATGTTATGCCAATTTAGGGTTTCCTATGTATGAGGCTATTTCCCTACCTCCTTCCCAAAGTTAAGTTTCTTATTTTTATCCATCTCAGTGGATGAAGCACAGCCCTCCAAGCAGCCTGGTGTGGTGGGATGCACCTGTAATCTCAACATTCGAAAGGTTCACTGGAGCCCAAGAGTTCAAGGCCAACCTGGACAAGTAGCAAGAAAAACCCTGTCTCAAAAAACAAAAGAAGCATAGAGCACCTCATTCTACTTTTGACTTTCATTCCTCCAATTAATAGTATAACTAATTATATCTTCATCTGTTTATGGTCATTTTTATTTTATTCTCTGAATTGTCCATTCATATTCTTTACCTATTTTTTTTCTGTTGAGTTGTACCTGTCTTTCCCATTAATTTATCAGGGTCTTTATATATTTTTAAAATCTATCAGTGAATTATCAGATAGCCTTTTTCATTCTACCTCATAGCAGAATTTTTAAATATTTATATGCTAAAATCATCTGATTTCCTGATTTTGTTATATAAAACTGCTGCATTTTATTTTAGCTAGAAATACCTCCCCAGTTACAAATTATTAAATTACTGTGTTTCTTCTAAAATGCTCAATTTTATATTGTACATTTACCCTTTTTGTACATTTACCTTTTTATCTGTCTGAATTAAAGTTTTATACTAGGTATGAACTATAGGTCTAGATCTATGCTAGTTCCAAATGAATATTGAATTATCCTCAAATCTGTCCCTTCTGATTTGAAATAGCCCTCTTATTATAAACTGAGTTATATCTATCCATAGTTGGTCTGAACATTCTGTTTGATTTTTCTATTATTCTATTTCTGTGGCATAGTCACATTATTTCAACTTTACTATAGTTTTATGGTAAGTTTTGTTTTCAAGCAGGAAAAGATCTCCTTCAATACTGTATTATTACTTTAAAAACATTTCATGAGAAATTCTTATGGATTCACTTCTCCAGATGAATTTAAGGGCAAGCTTTTCAGATTTCCTCCCAAGGAAATTCCACTGTGATTTCAATTGGAATTTCACTGAACTGCTAGGTTAATTTAAAACCAACATATTTACAATAGTGAATTTTCCTGTCAGAGACCATGGGATACCTCTTGTTTTTCAGCTCTTTCTTTTTTAATGGTATTTCATAAAACTTTTATGGCTGTCATCATGTAGACCTAGCAAATTTCTTGTTAGTTTTATTCCCGGGTATTTTTATAGTTTTTCTCGTTATTATGAATAGGCTCATTTTGCCATTGCCTTTTCTAATTGTTTATTGCTGATAAACAAGAAAGCTATTGATTTCTGTACATTTCTTTCATAACCCTCCAATCTTACTGAATTCTCTTGTTAGCTCTAATAGTTTTAAAGTTGACTATTCCAAATTTTTTGAGGTAGACAATTATATTAGCGGCAAGTAATGTAATCTTGTTTCTTCCTTCCCCACACATACGGTCTTTGTTTGTTTGGTTTTGTCTTCCTTTATGGCTAGTGTCTCCAAGGCCATATGAAAGAGGAGTGATAGCTTTGTCAGCTCTAAGATTTCTGCCTAAAATGGACTTAAAGAGAAGCATAGTTTTTATTAAATTCTGTATTACAGATCAATAAAAATAGTAAGATTTCTAGAGATATATTATTCCTCTTTTATATAAAATTGAGGGATCATATATTTTCCATACTAAACAGTTACTTTTTTAAAAGCCTGGAGCAATCTGAGAGGCACTGATAGAGATCAGATGAGGAAGTCCCCCGAATGGAAACCCTGTTCCCATGGCACCCTCATGTCACTGGGTGATGGGGTAAGCAATTTTTTATCCTGATTACTTTGAACTTATTAGCATTTTCTCTGTTATTATGAACCCTTGGCCTCACACTATTCCATTAAGTGGGTACGTCACAATTTACTTAATCATTTCTCTTGCTGTGAACATTAAGGCTGTCTCTAGTTGCTCATGTTATAAATATTTCTGTAAAGAATATTTTTGTGTGTAAGGCCTTTTTTTTCCCTGAATTTACGATTATTTCTTTAGGAGCAATTCCCAGAATGAACATTTTTAAGACGCTTGATTCTTATTGCCAAATTGCTTTCTAAAAGCATTGGATCACTTTACAGTGCCACCACCAGTATGTGAGTGTCTGAAGAAATGGGCCTTTTAAAATTAATTATGAAATTTGTCGTAGAGGAAAGAGGATGGACTTTGGAGTCAAGGAGGTGGGCTTGAATTCTGGTTCCTCCAGTGAAAACTGGGTCATAGTTTCAAAAAAAGGCAGCCGCGCCTCAGTTTCCCTATCTGTAGAATGTGAGGCAAATTCCTTCCACAGTCATACTGATGGCTGAATGAGCACAATCTGGTGATGGTGCCGGGCACAAAATAGCTATAATCAAAGAGGAGTCACTTCACCATTGTTTGGACGGTTTTCATTTTCTAACTGGCTTTGGTGACTTCCCCTGAAAACTACGCTGCAATTAGGAATGACTTCTGTCCCTCAGCAGAGCCCTCTGCCAAGGGGGAAGCCCCTTCCTGCACCTGGCTGCTGGCCCCAGCTGTGAGCTGTGAGCTCCCAGGCCTGGCAGCCTGCCGTGTAGAAGAATTTCTCTGGGGCTCTGTGAGCAGGCCGCTCACAGCCAGACTGGACTTCTGCTCTGTGCTTGAGAAGAAAGAACCACAAGTGCTCCATCCTCATGGAAAACCAAAAACTTCTCCCAGATGCATGAGCTGGATTTTTTCTGTATGGGCACTGTGCAGAGTGGGGCAGTTGTCACCTGCTCCCCTCCTTAATTGCCAAGTCCTACCAGCTCTACTTCTTCAATGCTTTTCCATTTTTCTCTTTCTCTGCACCACCACCAAGTCCCCTGACCTTGTCCAGGTGCTCTCACACCTGTGATACTGACATAACATCCTATTAGCCTCCAGAATGATTCCCTGCTGTCATCTTCTCTTCTGGCCCAGTGTGATCCTACTAAATGCCCATCCTGGCCATACTGTTTCCCTGCTGGAAGCCCTTCAGTCACCATTGCCATCCGCAGGATATAGTCCAAACCTTTAGCTTGGCATCCAGTGCCCGCCAGCTGGTGACAGCTCCCAAGTTGTACATGCTACCCATGCATTCATTTATTCAAGAGGCATTTAGCAATTATCAGTGACCAGACTAGGTATTGGAGTTACTATTAGGGCTTGTTCCAAGCTAGCCAGTCCAGAATAAGAATGGTATCAGCTAACGCTTCTTGCATTCTTTCTAAACACATGGGACTGTGCTCAGCACTTTATGGGCATAATCTTTCTTAACCCTTTCAGTAATCTTATCAAGAAGGCATTATTTCCATTCCCTATGCAGATGAGAAAGCTGGGACTTGGAAAATTAATATAGCTTGTTCAAGCTGGGAAGTTTGGAACCAGGTTCTTTGTCACTAGAGCCTATGCCCCCAACCACTCAATACCAGTTTGTGTCTTTATGTCTTAAGGTACCTGTCAGATTCAACTCATAGTATCTATATATGCATATCTTATAAGAAATAGGGCTACAGAACTCACAATTCTAATTAGCCACTAAATGCAAAACTGACCAGCCGCTAACACAAGTCCTGGCAGATTCTTCTCCTCTTAAGAGCTCCAGGACTGGCCACCGGATTCCTGCTGCAAACCCTTGTTGCCAGCATCCCAGTCACTGTCTGGGTTAGTGATGATTTCCTGAGAGGAGCCTCTGCCATGGTCGCTGGCCCTCTCACAGACGGCCCTTACAGGGTACAGGATGGACACTCAGTACCTTCACTGAGTTAAATTGAATTGGATTGAACCAAATTGAATTCAGAAGCAGATACTCTTCAGCAGTGGCTGGGATTTAAATTTGTTGTTCTCCTCATCATCTTGCCGTAGGAACACTGCCTCCCCCTTAAGACAGGCTGAGCACTCAGGTTGTTGAGGATAGTGTATCTTAATGGGTTTCTGTTCAGGCTGGGTAGCTTTTTCTGCATAGACTATTGGAAGTAGATCTGAATTGTGCATGTTTCTTTGATGTAGTTCTCCGATAAATCTTGGAATTTGAACAATCTGGCTTTAAGAAGCATCTGTGCCACTTGTATTGTCACATGACATTGGGCAAGTTATTTAACCTCTCTGGGCCTTTTGCTCCTTGTCCTTCTCAGTCTCATGGGGATACTGTGAGAATTAAAATGAGAAATTGCATATAAAATTCTTACTATGCACAATGCATGGTCAGAATGCACGGGATGGGGCGATACTTAGAA